CTAAAGTGAGAGATTTTAGGTATGAATCTCGTGGATGACGAATTCAATATCAAATTAAGCTGCTCATTGTGTGACTTAACTGAACTCTCCTTGTCTTAATGTAAAAACATCAATACACTCAAAAAAAAAAAAAAAGGCAGAAAAACTCAGATTTTACGATATAGTTTATGGTTCGGCGGTTACTTGAAATAATAATTGCTTAGAGTTGTGATGTTTCCATAACTTAATTAATTAATTGAGTTGAGTTTCATCAAAACGACACCTTAACCAAAGGACAGATAAAGCAATGCAAGCAATAGCGCAGCAACCAACTTATAATTTCCCGCCCTTGATACAATATTCGACCTAACCCTAAACTCAAACATTTTTAACTACTTGAAAAGGAAATGTAATTTGAACCATTACGAGATGTTAAGTGGTTGAGGCGAGTTTTTGGCTTTTATTAACATGAAACGTCTTGAGTTTGATTCCTGATGCGTGTGAGTCACACTATAGTGGTTAAGGCGATGTTGAAATGCTTTTGTAAGTGTTTTCACGTAAAAAAAAAAGATTGTTGTGGCAACGTCACTAGTTATTTTTTTTATGAAAAAAAAAGAAAAAAAAGAAAGGAAACGTAACTTGTCAGTTGGTAGGCTTACTTTCAATGACAAATTGATTATATGAAGAATGAACTGAATTTATTAAAGATATATACATGTATGTACTCAAGCTATACTATACTCACGATATATACTCAAGCTAACTTGTACTCCATCATAAGAACGATGAAATAAGATCCTTTACTCGTATTTTGGTCTCTATACAGTGCTTGATGCCGATAATTACTTCATTTTTAGGTTTAGGGACGGCTCAATGCCTTGAGTTTAGGGTTAGGTATCTAAGAGTCTATGATTTATATTCCAAAATAATAATGCAAAATTTTAAAACAACGTTGATTTTGAAGACAACATAGATTTAGACATAAGTACAAGATCAACACCAAATGCATGAGCACTTTGGCTCCCATTGAAAAGAAAAGGGTTAGGCACCAACCAAAATCACTTAAGAATAGAAACACATGCAGAACGGAGGTACTTCTCCATAAAATTACTTTAAGCGCCGTTATTCATAAGCAATAGTACGTATTTCTGCTTTCTATGTATGTCATTTCAAATAATTGCTTCTCTCCATGAGTGATTATAGCTCGTAATTACCTGTAATTAAACAAAACTCTAATTAGTAAAAAGTAATATTTATACTAACTCTCCAAGCTCCAAACAATCAACCCATCAAGTCACGAAAAGACATGTAGCCCACAGTGGGATCACGTAAAGGAAGCCATGCATGTTTGCTTGTCGTCTAGATTGTGGTATAATGTAATGTAACCGGCATTTATTTGGAGTAAGAATTTCATAGTACTTTCGATTGGAAATTTTGTAGAGTAGCCTTTTGTTTGTAGTGTTTTTGGTTTGGGTCTCAGTCATAGCCGCATGCACAAGTCCGTGGGTTTGAAGAGCAATTTATAATTTTCAGTAATGCAACACATAGTTTTACGATATTGGTGTATTAATTCATATGTCAAATGATGCATACAATTAATATTTAATGAGTTAAATTCTTTAATTAACATGATGTGTACAAATTACTTGCCATGTCATATGGTCAGTCTTTAGAATATTGGTATTGGTGGAAATATCGATAAGTAAATTTGTGGAAATATCGATGTCAGTTGCCTTCGATGGAAATAATGAAAATTTGCTAAAAAAACATGAAAACTCAAAATGAAGCTTTAGAGAATGTCAAACATTAGTTTAGATGAAATATAAGTTTTTATATTTAATTGGTTGTATGTCGGATTATATCGACGAAACCTATTGATTTTAGCTGAAATTTTAGAGTTTCTTCAATATGGGATGAAGTTGAAACTTCACCTCATTTCCATATCTTTATCTGATTTTTCCGATAAATCCAGAGAAATACCAAAGAAATTTCAAACGCAACATATGGTATTATCAATATGGTACAAAAAATATGGCCTGTATTGTATTTCCTATTGAACAAATGAAGATATATCTAAAGATGTGGTTTCATTTATTTGGTTGGAAGAATATGACAAATGAAGATATATCTGAAGATATTGTTTCGTTTCGTTTGGTTGGAAGAATGGATTTAGACATGGGATGGGAGGTGAGTGACGGTGACATTAGAAATTTTGGGACCAGAACTTAGTTAGTTAAGGGTCACTTAAAATTCATATATCCTCTCAATTTTTTGTCGGGCATCCACGAGTAGGCACATGATATCCCTCTTTCCCTTCACGTGAAAGTTTTTATTTTTATTTTTCTTAACAAACGATATTATCTACATTAAGGAGAGGGGTTAGGCTAAGCCTCATAGTGAGCTAGTAATAATGTGGTTTAAATTTGCCTTAAACGATAATTGAACCTAAGACCTTTCACTTGTAAGTGAAAAAGAATATCATTCGACTGTAAGTTCTGCTTCACTTGTAAGTGAGAAGTTTTAGGTTCGATTCTTACCAAAAGCGAATTTGAACCACATTACTATGGCTAGCCAATTGCGGGACTTAGCACACTTCCCCACTTTCTTAGTGTAAATAATATCGTTTGTACAAAAAAAAGAATTAAACTTAAGTGAAGATATTAGTTGATAGAGCCCAAGCTTTGATTTTGGGTAGAAACTTGAGGCCCAAAGAGGATTTGAACTAATATAGGCGCCATAAAATGAAAGATGGCATTGTGGGAACTGCGAAAAAAGTTCTAAACTAATTAAGGGCCCAGACGAGCTGAAATAATCTCGATATGTACAAATTGGGCCCAAGAAAGAACGACTCATGGCCCATGATTGAAGAGGCATGTTAGGCACTCCGGCCCACCAAAGGAGTAAAAGAAAAAGAAAAACTAATGAAAATGACTTGAAAACTTTGAGTTTTAACTATAAGAACAAAATAAATGATAAAGTGAATAGTATCAAGATTGACCTTTTTAGTGTAAAAATGTGACTTTTTATTAAAGTGAACAGTACCGAAAGTTTTTCGTTAAAGTTCTCAAAAGAAAAAGGGAAAACAAATCTTCACCAAAAAACAATGCTTTTACTAAATTGACACTAAACAAAAACTAAAGAGACATTGCAGGACACTAAAACATGTTTTATTGTTTGTTTTAGTTTTAATTGAAATTTGTTTCTATTTAGTTTACTAATTATTTTTCCGATATTAGGAGGTTACTTGTTTTCGGACATCCCAAATTGGTTTCCTCTTAACCTCAAGGGGTATGTTATATTTAAAGTTTTAAACCCTCAGACCCTTTATGCAAAGGAATCTTAATTTTTTTTCTTTCAAAAAAATAGAGATTAGATGTAGGGTTCACTCCACATCGAACATCAAACGATCCGAATTGTCTATTTTGTAAATCTCGACTCATAGATCATCATTGCAAAAATTTAATTCAATCTGAAATCATTTGCCTATTTAATTATCAAGATAAAATTTCATTGTTTCTTATATAACAAAGTATTCATTAATTTTTTTTAAACCCAATTAGATGTCATAAATATTTCTAAGTTTGCTAATATTTTGCAAGGATGAGGTGCAACTTGAAAAATAGAAAACTCGGATCGTTAAAGTTCAATGTGGTGTGGACCCCACAACTAATTCTCAATTTTTTTATAAAAAATGGAATCCTTTCCTTTAAAGGCTTATTTTAAACCCTAGGCCTATTGCTTTACATCAACTTACAAAGTTTTACTAACTTGATCATCGAAGTATCTTTGTTTGATAACCGATAATAAAGGAAGCAGCCATTCCTGAACAAAAAAATCAAAATTTGAACACGTATCCACACGAAATTAGGTATAAGCAAAAGTGGTTGCTGAATTGTTCATTAGCCAAGTCTTGTTCGATAATAAATCAGTGCTCTTCACAAGGACAGTCCCTGAAGTATCAGTTAAACTTTGCACGTAAGTGTCCGAATCCACTACTTCAAAACTGTATTAAAGATGATAATGTTAATGTTTACCTTGTGATGAGTTCGAGTGTTCGACACCTAAACTCTAATTTTGACTATCTAATTTATTGTGACACTTTCATATTGTTTATAGAAAATTTAAAAATATTCTTTTATGGTCATGATTATATATTTTTATATTCTGACATCTCATGTTTTTAACAGAATATTTTATAATAAAACATAAAAAATAACGTTAAACTATGAAGTGACAAAAAATTCGTTTAATAGAGTCGTAACCAAGGTTCTAAAAGTCGTTAGGCGCTAGTCTGGCGGCGGGCTGGGGCCTAGCGCCTAGGTGGCTGGGGCCTAGCGCCTAGGCGGCTAGGCGGGTGCTTAGGAGGACTAGGCGGATTTAAGTAAATCTATCATATTTCAGGTAAATAAGTGTCTGCTTCTACTTGAAATATATATAATTTCATTATAAACTACAAAATAGAATGCATATATATCATGAAGTATTGGAATATAATGAAAACATGTGAAATAAGGATATAATGTTTGTTCATTCAAGTATGCAACAAGTATCTTACAATTTATTGGAAAAAAAAAATGCAAAATGAAAGTTATGTATTTTCTATCTAAGGGAGTTGCAATCTAGGAGGGTCTAGGCGGGTGCCTAAGGGGGCTAGGCGGGTGCCTAGGCGGGCGCTTAGGCAGGTGCCTAGGTGGTCTAGGCAGTGGGCTAGGGCCTAAGCATTAATTGGGGCGGTGAGCTGAGGCCTAGCGCCTAGACGGGGCCTAAGCGGAGATTTTTAGAACAGTACATTCTTCATTCAATAATAAAGAAAAGGAAAGGAGGCGCCGACCAAAAAGTTGGACAAGTTGACCACGGTAAGTGTCGTGGTAAGTAAACTGGGAAATTGTGCAGGTGGACGCGTGTTCGGTACGTGACAGCGAGTACACCAATCCTTCCTACTCGAGCGAGTAAGAGTACAAATAGTTGTGTTCCACTTTCCAATTGGAACTTTTGGAAGCATGGATTATAGTACCTCACAGTTGCGAATGTTCCCCCTTTCCAGCCTTTTTATCCATCTGGAGAGAGGAGAGGTCAAGTTCCTCCTTCTGGTTCCTACAAACTTGTAAAATTCCCCACCCAAATAGTTAATTTTCTTTCTGGTTTTAGTATCTTTGTTTCTAATCAATCTTCTGCTTTTCTGGGTATGTTCTGAATCGCTACTTTTACTCTCAATTCATTGTTTTTGTTGCTAATATTGTGATATTCTTGCTTGTTTTTGTTGGCAATGTTTTTATTTTTTGGGTGCGGAAGTTGATTATGTTATGAATTTGACTGTATTTTTAATTTTTTTTTATTATGTTTTGAATTTCCAGTTGGTTTTTTGAAAATTTTCAATTTTCTGAAGGGTATAGTTTTTCCATTGGATGTGTTCCATTGGGGTTTTAGAAAGCTTCAACTTTGAATTTTGGGGGTTTGAGATTTTAATTCTCTAAATTTTGAGTTGCCATAGACAATCAGACATGGTCTGGTTAAAATCTGAATTGCTGGCTGTTGTTGCAATTGATATGTTTTTGTCTTTTGAATTGATTAAGGTGGTGTTTTTGATGTATTTTGATCCGTCGGGCTCAGTTCGTTAGTAGGGTTTGGAATCAAAGTTTGCAATGTGAAATCCAAGCTTGGTTTTGTTTTTTTTTTTTTGCGTAAAATTCGGTAGCAATCTGCAGAACTCGTTTACCTGTCTGCTAAGAAAACTGGTGTAAAATATCATCTACTTATATGCACACATTGTTTAAAGTTTTGCTTTTGATTAACATGTTAGTTGAATTTGCAGAGCCCAGCATTTGAAAGACGAAACAGAAGAGAGGCCCGGTTTCTCAACCATGCAGTTATATCACCATCCTTACTCATTGGATAGCCAAAGAGTGAGACTTGCTTTGGAGGAAAAAGGCATTGATTACACATCATTCCATGTCAATCCCGTGACGGTCAAGAACATGGATGCCTCATTCTTCAGGAGGAATCCGAGTGCAAAACTCCCGGTTTTCCAGAACGGGCACCATATCATTTACAACACCATTGAGATCATTCAGTATGTTACACACTTCACTAACACAGTCTGATAATATTGTATTATATAAGTTGTATGCTATCGATTTAGAATTCACTTTAGATTTGTGTCGTAAAAGCGAAACATAATAATGAAAATTGAATAGCGTTCGAGTATATTGGCCTTGACAGTTTTCTCTTTCGATCTTCAAGCAATGTGTTATTGTTTCCAAAACATGTTGACTTCGAAACAGGGAAGATTTTAAACTGCTATTTGTGTATCCAGGTATGTGGAAAGAATTGCACTAGTCTCATCAGGGGAAGAGAACATCCCTTCAAGTGGCGGAGAAGTGACTGCATGGATGCACAGAATAAAACAATGGAACCCCAAGTTCTTTACGCTTTCTCACATCCCAAAGAAGCACCGCGATTATGTCTATAAGTTCATAAGGCAGGTGATTATTGCTCGAATGGCGGAAGCTACTGATCTAGCTGCTGCTTATCACGCCAAGTTAGTCCAAGTGTACGAGACAGAAGACAAGTTAAAAGACCCCGCGGTTTTGAACCAGAGCAAGGAACAGTTAATAAGACTTCTTGATCAAGTCGAAAAAAAGCTGAACGAATCGGCTTATTTGGCCGGGGAAGAGTTTAGCATGGCGGATGTGATGCTCGTTCCTGTGCTGGCACGGCTAGTGCTCTTGAATTTGAAGGAAGAGTACATAGATGGCCGGCCGAACACGGCTAAATACTGGATTATGGTGCAGCAGAGGCCTAGTTATAAGAAGGTGATTGGGAAGCACTTCAGTGGGTGGAGGAAGCACAAAACATTTATTAGAACTTGGTGTTTTGTTCACATCAGAACCATTCTAAGGAGATTTTGACGCTGTAAAAACCACGCAGTTGCGTTAGAATAAAAAAAAATGTTAATTCAAATGTATGTATATTTTCGGGTTGGAAGCATAAAAATTTATTTGTGTTACAAGTCCTCAGCTAGTTTGAGGTCTTCCGAACATCACAAATATAAACATTTCGCTGTAAATCATGGCATGAATTTTTTAGTTTTTATACAACGGTAATGGGGATCGGAGTTGAGCGAAGTAACACAATCAGTCAACAATAATTTGATATCGAACATCCATTAAAAGTAACTTTGTCATCATCAATGGTTGAGCTAGCGTCAAACTTTACACACAATCGGGACGCTGAAGTGTAAGTATTCCAAGCCCATCATATACGGCTATATATTTTAACTTACCCACAGACCATTACATGATTAATTAGAAATACCGTGACCTCAATAATTAATCATTCGATGTTGACAAATAAAAGCTGAACACAATTCACCTAACCAGATAAATGAATCAAAAACTCAAAATTTTGACTCTATAAGTCCCAACAGAGATACACAGACTTGTAATAAGATCACAGCTCATGATTAGAGGGAAACCGAAAACTGAAACTAAAATTAAACTTGATGGACAACATTAATAAAGTCTTCATAATCTTAAAACGTTATTCATAAATCATATCAGTATTGTACTGCTAACACCAGAAAACGCTAAGATCGAAAGCCATAAAGCTCAGCTTGGAGGCCTAAAACAACGAGGCCGAGTACAAAGAATGCAATAAATCAATATGGGAATGTTACATAAATTAAAATTATCAATACCTGTAAGAGCACATGACCATACGGGAGCAATTTTTTTCATTCGAAGACTTGAATATCGAATAAAATTTCATTTAAATAAACCCGAAAAGGGAAAGTAAAGAATTGTGGAACACATTTGAGGTATAAAGCAAATAAGCTAAGCAGCCTCATCCTATGAAAGAATGTTGATCAATGGTGTTGTGAATGCTGACTGGCATTATTTCCAGCTCTCTCAACCCTATAGCTTAAATCCTCTGCATAAAATGAACTTGTATGCTCATTTGCTACATTTCCTACGCCTATGCTGCTGTTCGCCCCACCCTGGGAGTTGTTTCCGTTGCACCCCCACCCGTTTCTATCCCCGAAAGATGGGGGTCCAAATTTTGTATTAATATTATTATCATTATTATGATTCCAGTACTTCTGCTGCTTGAAGTATCTCCTTCCCAAATCATTCGAGAATTCTCTCGGCCGCTTAGATGCACATTGGTTGTTTACACATGGAATGTTAAACTCTGCCTGATTGGCACCAGTTGTGCTAGGACTGCTATCATTAGAGTGAGAAGTTGCAGGAACACACCTGTCATGTTGTCCTTCTGCAGGTTGACTAACTGCCACATGATTGATGGGATGAGAAGGTGAAGGGCCTTTCTTGTGACGGGGCACCAAGGGTAATGGTGGGAAAGGAAGAAAAGGTATCCCAGGAGCAAGATGGGGTGTCCCATATTGCTGCATGACAGACAGTGGAATTCCGTACGAGATGGGTAAGCGAGAAACAAATTTCTCCTGCGGATGCCCTATCACTGGAGCAGCAGGACACTTCAAAGGACAAAATGATGACGAAGCAAAAGATGGAATTGCAGGGGCATCAAACCCAGGAGGAAGATCGTCGAGGTTTATCTCTGTTCCATCATTTTGCTGACAGTTACGATGCACACTGCTGGAACAAGTTCCATCTTCTCCACTCACCCTCTTCAGATGCAATGCCATTTCACCTATCCCAGGCAATGGACTAGGTGCTAACTGTCTATGCAATCCAGACTCGCTCTTCTGTTCTTTGTTCTGAAGTAAACTTGAATCTGGGTCTGCTGGTTGATCCCATCGGCTTTTACGCTTGCGAACTTTTGTCTCACTGGTAGGGCCACCACCCGTACAAGGTGCAGAAGAGACCTCCTGGACGCCAGTACTCACAGAAGTTGAAACCATTGATTGTTTGGCACTATCTATAGCTTCAGTAGACCTTCCACTTTGATCACGCCAATTATCATGTGATGGGGAAAATCTGTTGGAGTTTGAACCTCTGTTAAATTCCATCTTGCTATCAACCCTGTCTACATAGCCATGTCTTCTGAAAGGTCTGGGAATCCACTTGTCTCGAAAATTCCGTGCTATTTGGTGGACCTGTAGAATCCTCAACTGATTCAGACTCAGAGGTTATATTCATTCGTCGATGTATCATGCACCAACGTATGACACAAAACATCAAAAGAAGCCTGCCTAAGCAACTTTTTCGATAAAGAGGATAACAAAATAGGTGATCAAGTAATCTACACAGATTTTTCAAAACTAGACCTGTCTGTCTTCGTGTTCTGTCAGTGACAGCATTGACTCCATAAAGCTGCAGAGAAATACAACTATCAGGAAATAAGCAAGATTACTAAGAGATTATATTTACTTGCATTAAAGTCGAGTACTGATATCAATTTGCAGGAAAAAAATTGAACAGCTGGAAGTGTTCAACTGAGTGAAAGTCTTGGGACCAAATATATTACTAAAAATGATGTAATAATATTGGAAGTGCTTCTCAACATAAACAGCAAAGCAACTGGAAAACCTTTTCGAAACGATGCCATCGGTTAAATCTAAAACCAACTTCCAGTGTCAAACTCAAACAGGCCACCCCAACAAAGGAGAAGAAAAGAGCAACGTGATTATAACAAATCAATAACTAAATTTAAGGATGAAACAAATAATTACCTCTCCATTCCAGCGCAGGGAGGACCTCCAGTAATATGCTCTGATGTAAGTATATGCCTCATAGCTAAATACTCTAGGACCTGCGAAAATAATATTAGTCAGCTGAATACCAAAATATTGATAAAGAAATGTTCTCTTTATCACATTTTTCTTGAATCCCTGAAGGCACTCTCACACACACACACACAGCTAATACTTGAAACACGGGCAATTTTACAGCTGGAGTAAAAAAAAACACCATATAACTAAAACAGTTTCCAGTGCACACACCTTCAGAAGCTTCCGGAGGATTGGTATCTTTTTGAAGTCTTCTCTGTATTTTTTCATTATGTTGTGTAGCATTCTCAAACCTAACAAAAAAAAAAAAAAATCAACCATTTGAAGCAAATGGGGGCACAATAAATTAATTCATTTGATACCAACAAAAGGGGAAACAGTTAGCACGCTATGCGACAAAAAGGAGGGTACACACCGTTTTTATTTATTACATCAATCAAAACCATCCGTGACTTTGTTTTCAAAAGCGCATCAAGGATCATAGAAAGATCTCGATTGCTGCAAAAAAGGAAAAAAGACTTTAATGGAGAGAGTTAACTACAAACTTCACCTCAACGACAATAATTTTTTTTTTTTTGAGAAGAAACTATAACATTTTATGAAGCTTGAAAAGTGGCTAATATTACAACAAAGGCAACAATATGAAGTAAAAAATTTCAATATACCTCTGAATTACTTCACCACTGCCACTATCACCAGATACAGCGGTAAGGATCAGAAGCTTCAAGTAGCCTTTAGTGGAATCCTGTAAGAAAATACCATGCATATATAAACTACCAATATAAGAGAAATTATATAATAGACAAAAGAGAAAAAGCTGTCAATGGTAAATGCTTCAAGAAGGCATATGCTTCAAAATTGACATTGAAAAGAAAATCGGATGCAGCGTGCTCAGTAGCAGAGACAGAACAAGACACATGATTTGAGTAATATAGCCAAACAATGAAAGGTGTATTATGATAAAATACAGGCCCATTTGAGAATGGAATAAATGTGATGAGGAATCCACAAAATGAAGCACATTAGCCTCCATTGCTACCACTTACTTTCCGTTTATTTATCCCTCCGTCGCCATCCAACAGCTCGTTAAGCTTCTCCTCAACTGCAACCATTTGCATCAAGCCTCAATCAATCAACGAATCCCTTACTTCTAACTCTAAATAAATCAAGATGAAAAAAAATCCCTAACCTGAACCTTCTGTTAATCGTTTGGGCTTGATAGATAGCACGAGAGATTTGGTGGCTGCCATTTGAATTTTGTTTCCACTTGGGGTAATCTTCACTTTGCTTTTCTTCACAAAACTGGTTGATTTGGAAGTTTTCACATTAGAACACACTTTGGAAGGAACCTGTCCAACTTCAATAGTACCAGACTTGGACTTCCTGTTACTGTCAGTGCCATCAGATAACGATTTGCCAAGCAGTTTTACTGGAGTAGTCTCTAGTCTTTCAGAGGAGTTTGAGGATTTTTCTGTAGTCTCCTTTTCCCCAAAAATTTCCTGCTCAATAGCAGGTATGGGTATACTAGCTACATCTTCTGTTTCAACTGGTGGGACAGAAGATGGTTTCTGTCTTGGGTGCTTCAATTCCAATGAATCGTGTAAGTGAGAAACAAGTGAATCAGATCGATTCATGGACTCCTCTCTTTGTGTGGTGAACTCCAATTCCCCAATAGAAACTGTTGTATTATCAATTACTTTATTTGCAGGCAACGTATTGTCAGACCTATCTTCAGATACACCATCTTCTGGGATCATCACAGGCTCCATATATTCTTCATCTGAATCATCTTGAACAATGACTTCGGTATCAAGAGGATCACCACCTATGTAACCCCGACATTGAGATGAACCACAATGACATTTTTTGGCAGCAGCTCCGAAAACCCTTACATAGTTGTAGTCAAATGTAACCTCTTCACCCTGAAATATAATAATATGGGCCAATATATACAGAACGACGATTATCAACACACAGCAATGAAAAAGAAAAAATATAGCTAAAAATAACAGCTTCAAAAGCAAATGCAGGGAAACAGGCTCCTAGACATAACCCAAAAATTCAAGGGTACTTTTGTTTTCCCTTTGGATTATTTTAATTCTAGATCCTTTTTTTCACTTAAATTATGTCTACATAACACTAGTAATGGGACACTTGCAAGTTGCAAGTCCATCGAAAAGGTGGATCAGTCTCCAACATTAAAGGGATAACTACATGATTTGGCAAATGGCCACCATAAAATATACTCTTTCCAGACAACTAGATTACACTCAGGACAAGCAATAAAACTGTCAATTGTGCAAGAGCCATTGATGAGTCGACAGGGGTGCTGAAATAATAAATTCTCCAAGAGGTGACCAGTAAAAAGCTTTAACCTAAAATTGCATACCACAG